ATAAAAAAGAGGTTAGGTTAAAGCCAATGATATTGAAGAATTGAAAGTCAGAGACAATTTTTGAAGGACTTTGAGAACTTTTAAATTAATATGATTTATGTTGATCTATAAAATATGATTGTGACAGCACTACTTATGTTAACACTGGAAAAGGAAGTGGTGTGGTGAAGAGATTAATGACACATTTTGAAAGAGTTGGCTTTTAGAAACCTCTCTATGTTGGTTGTCAACACCATTTATTAAATATTAAATTATTGATTAATAAAGTTATGTCTGGGTGAATTTTTTAGAGGTAATACCAATTCACCTGAACTGTCAGTACCGCTATTGACAGTAGTGCCGAACAAGCAGTAAATGTTTTAGGAGATATTAAAAGTCTTTGTAAATCGGAACAAACCTTGTGTTTGAAATATTTATAATAATATAAATCACAATTAAAGCAAATGCAAACCTTTTTAGTTAATGCAGTTTTATCAATATAGTTTTTTAAACATTTTGATGTTTTGTTAATTTTATCAATATAGCTTTATTTATGTGATATATATCTTTATTACTTATTTAAAAATAACTTATTATTTTAAGAAAAAATGGAAAACGTTTTACTTCAAATTAGCATTACAGAATTTCTAGGAGTATTCGTTATACAATTAACAGCTTTTTATCTTATACTGCTGAGTTAGATGAGCATGATGATGTCATACTGAAATAGTCTGCTGCCGGGGGCTTCAGTACATACATCGACTGACAAATAGCCTGACTCGCAGTAGAGTGCTGCTACATCGACTGAGGGTTTGTTATGGGTCAGCTACCTTTTAATTCATTATTCTTTGTTTTCCTTCATCGTTTTCTCAAAAATCCCACTTAATTTAGACTAGCAAAAAAGTGAGCAATTGCGCATATAAATATGCTAAAGTGTGTATATATATATATATATATATATATATATATATATATATATATATATATATATATATATATATATATATATATATATATATATATAGGGGCTATTGTAAACCGTTTTCAACAGCGATGATCGTATTTGGGTGCTGCCAAAATTAAAATTGAAGAACTTTTTTTTTAGGGCTAATTTTTTTTTTTGCAAAAAAACAAAAAATTAGCCCTAAAAAAAAAGTTCTTCAAAATTTCTTTCTTGTAAATTTTGCCAGGACAAGGGGGTACCACTGCCCAAATTTTTTTCTTAAAATAGACCCTGATATATATATATATATATATATATATATATATATAACAGTTTTTAATGTACTTGATAATGAGGGTATCAATATTCCTTCGAAATATCGTAAAAATAAATATATTTTGAACAAATAGATATTAAACCATAAAAAGAAGTTTTATTTAAAATATTTATACAAATAAAATCTATTGAAGAAGTCAACATTTAAAATATATATATATCTGTGTGTGTATTATACTCTTTTTGAAATTGAATTTTTAATAGAAATATAAATTTAAAAATAGAATTTTAAAATAGAAATATATATATAATACTCTTTTTAAAATAGATTTTATTTTTATTTTTAGTAAAATTTTTTGTTTAAAAATTGCGGAAAATCTGCAGTTATGCAGTGTAAATATTATTATATTTTTTATTTGCAGAAATCAATGAAGAGCATTTTTTTACTTTGTTTATAAATCGTTAAAATTACTTTAACAAAAAAAGCACTAAAATATCATTATTTAAATCCTCTCATGAATAGGGTTTTCATATGTCCGGCTTTTACGGAGGAGAATACAGCGCCAAACCTGTAAAAAATAAATTTGTTTACTGTGTTTTCTTTCATAAATACCGGACATCTAACAACCCTAATCATGAACAATAAATAAGTTTTCATTATTGAAGTCTACCTTTAACTGATTTAAAAAAGTCTGAGATTAAAGTTTATATTTAGTCTCCCAGAACAAGAGCTCATAAAGCAAAGTAACATATTTATTTTATGCCGCTTAACTGCAGATTTCCCAAAATTATTTAGGAAGTATCAATAAAAATTTTAACTTTAAATGTTTATTTTCATTTCACTTGAGAGTGTAATAAAAGTAAAAATTAGATTACATGTGATTAGTTTTATGAAGAAATAAAACTTAATTACTATAAGGTAAAAGAACTCTAAAAATCATATATCTTTAAAATAGTTTCATTTTTTTTTTTTAATATCTTTACTTCCAACAAAGCTGCAAGCAACCACTGTTAGTTGCAGGTCTTTGTAGCTGAGGTCTAAATTTGGCTCCAGGTCCATAACTCCAGCAAAATATTTTATAAAATTTCAGGTTTTGGTTCAGCTATATCAAGATTGCTTGATATAACTTAAGTACAGAAAATAGCATCTCTACATTTGCTTGTGAGAAACCCATTAAAGTGACCACTCTGCACAATTCTGTATCCTTTTTAGATATCCCTAATTTTTCTCAAAAGCTGATTTCACTTTTAAACAAATCTTTTTTCCAGTGTGACAGTTTTCAATGAAATTTGTATTATAAT